GGGGCGGTCGGGGAGAGTGGTGTACTCGGCCGGTGTTATAGTCGCCTGAGCCGCCTCTATATGATAATACATCTTGTGCATCTCTACTGATTTTAAAGATATCAGCCTTGGACACTCCACTCCACCACTGAACAAAGGAAAGGGAAAAAAGAAGGGGGGGGGGGGAAGGGGGAGGGTACAAAAAAACTCCAGTAGCCTAACCCTCACAGCATGAGAATTATGACCTTAATTCATGCTATGTCCATAAACATTCACACCTGTCAGACGGATGACAGTCAATGATTAAAAGATATATATATAAAATTATTGTCATTAAATTTCAATATGGTATTTAATTTAGCGATGAGCCGTTGATAGAGTCTAGTTAAAGCTCTTCTTTCTGCATGCTGTTTAATCCATCCTTGTACAGAAAGTGTCTGAAAGTCAGATTCAGAAACAGACAAAAGTGTTCTGAAATAAATTATACTTTGGGTCGAGACCAGACACAGGCACCCAAGAGGGCTTTTCATGGGCTCCGCTCTTGGCTAAGTATCTGATAGTAACCCAGCGGGACTATTTCGTTTGGACTGGAAATTACCACCCATTGCTCTAAATCAACAAAAAAAAAAGTGTACTGTAATTTGTATGTAAGGTAAATGTACTTACAAGCCTAATGGGAGAGTACGAAGACATTGCTCTGAGCGCTCCCGGCTGAAGCCACAACAACTACTTAATGGAGGAAGTTTTTAAGTGTGTGGGGGTGGGAAATATTTTTCAAGCTATTTGGATTTTAATGTTCCTTATTATTTGTACATCGTATCTGATATTTGATCGTATTTGTAAATAATTTTGATTCCTTTAAAGAGAAATATTCAACAAGTTTTGTTTAAGGACCATACCATTTAAATATTTTACAATTTAAACTATTGGAAACAATTTTATTTAATCAAAATTATGGGGGAAGAGGGGATTTTTATTCCTAAAGGTTCTTTGCGCAGCTAATGATACAAGGAAGTCATATTTGCCAGCATATTTCAAACAAGAATCCAAGACTAA